ATGTTTTAATTCCTTTCTTCATCAATCTTGGCACTCCCCTACCTAGATGCCTACTTGGTGCAAACCCAAAAACCAAACCCGTTGCTGTGGAGTCAATTCCGACTCATAACGACCCTACAGGACAGAGCAGAACTGCCCCATGGGGTTTCCAAGGAGCAGCTGGCGGATATGAACTGCCAACCTTTTTGGTTAGCAACCGTAGCTCTTAACCACTGCGCCACCAGGGCTCCCTTGGTGCAAAGGTTCTCAATTATTTCTGCAGAAGTAAGTCTAAATTCCTTAGTAGGCAAAGTCTTGCACACCTACCTCTCCTATTTTGACTTCTGCCTCCTAAAGCTCAGCATTTTACACTCTTCTAGTCACTCAGCTCACCATTTCCTGCACACAACTATGCCCTTTCCCCTTCTATACATCAAACCAACTCCTATTCATCCTTCAAGAATTAACTCCAACATATCTCCTCCTCAGTGAAGTCCTCCCTGACTCCCCCAGGCAATAAGCTATGAGGTTCACAGTGCCCCTGGAACCCCCCAGCCCACTTTTATTAACATATCTATGCTCTAGCGACTATGATTTGTCATTTCTTCAACACTGAATGCCTATCAGGTACCAAGCACTAAGACGGGTACCTGGATAACAGTAAGTTATCTCTGTATTCCCATTACATAGCACTGGGCCGGGAAAATAGCAGACAGTCAGAAAATGTTTGTTGAATGAATTAATTAATAAATTAACGAAAGAACTACAAACAAGACTTTATCCACTATCATCAGGACAATCTCCCTGTTCTGCTTCCTTTTTATTCCATTTGAGACCTAAAAAAGCAAATCAGGGTCAAATATAGAAACAACCATACAATCATTGAACCAACATCTTCACCCTTTAAACACAGCAAACAAACCTCCAAGTCCTTTTCAAATTATTAAGTAAACCACCATTCCAGATAATCCTTTCTCTTGTGTTTCATGTAAATATAGTAACAATCTGTTTGCCATTTATTTACTACAAACATACAAAATATACTCTGTTTTGTGGGTTAAAAAGTCTTTGTGGATTAATTTGTGACTGAATCTCCACTTTTTACATTGTTTCCACTGGAAAATATATTTCAAGCACAAATGACAAAAATTATAAATAAACAATGCCACATAAACCATTTTTCTTTTGAGAACTACAGGTAAAGTCAGGGGGTTCCATTTTTGCCATTTGTAGGTACCAAACAACCTGGTAGCCCCAGAATCCATCATCTACAGAGACTGGCCAGAAATCTCAATGTTAACTTGGGCTGCTGGCTGAAGGGCACTTATCTAAGGTTATGAGGGTCCTGAAAGCAAATCTCTACTTAGAGAGCTAATCGTGACCAGCACCCACTGGCCAAATCTGGAGTGAATGACTGAATCCACAAAGACTGTTCAATCATTTTCTTTGGATCCCGGATGACCATGAACCTGTGGCAAAGGATGAACTAGTGAATCATTACATGTTCAATACATCCTAATAGAATGAAAAATTAGTATCAAAATACAACCCACAGATCTCAAATAAACCATGTTTACTGTGCAGGATATCTCTCTATTTAAAGCCAGTCCTGAAGAAAACAGAGCCAAGTTTGTACTAATTATTTTTTCTTTATCATACTGCAATCAAGCCCCAGATATGAATTTGGTTCCCATTCACCAAGTATTAAAGTCTCTACAACACTAGAATATGTGTGTTTGTTTAACTGATATACAACAAGTGACACATGACGATTTTGGTACAGGAGACCTCAGCCACCCAGTGAATGAGTCATTCTACACAGTTGAGTTTTCTGAATGGGTAAGAGCTTTACACACCAAAATAGCTTTAGGGTTAATTATTTGGGGTGTAAATATTTCCAAAATACATTGCCTATTTTCCCACCTTCTTAAAGAGTGTATTTTAAAACGCATCTTTTCTAGACAGAAGATGGGTTAGTGGTTACCGGGGGCTGGGGGGGAGGAGAGAATGGGGAGTTTAACAGATACCGAGTTTCTGTTTGGGGTGATAAAAAAGTTTTACAAGTAGTGATGATGGTTGCACACACATACACACACATAACTATCTTTTTTGATAGCTCAGTGTCATTTATTGTAAACAGTGATTAGTGGTTTGGGTTATTACAGAGTGGTGCCTGCAGGGTTGATTGAGGGTCCTATCCTAACATCCCCAAGTCCTCATAGCTTCCCCCCACCCACCCCAATTCTTGTGTCTAAAGTTATTGTTCTTTCTTTTCTAGTTGTCAGGCTGTCAGAGGTCACTTTTCAAAGCTCGTTCCAGGAGCCCCTTACTCCATTCTAAATGTGATACTCCTACCATGCTATGGATTATTTTTCAAATTAAAAAAAAAGTTAGGATTATATCTAAGAGAGTAAGTATATTCTGAGAGAGGTTCTGAGGATTCCCCTGGACTTTATGCCATCTGTTCTGGTTGCTAAGTAGGCCTTTTTGCCCCCTCCCTGATTTACGGCTGCGATCCAGACTCAGGAACACCATGACAAATCTTGCTGCTCTTAATGATCCCCACACACCAAAAATAAACCAAACCATCGTATGAGATCACTAATGAATTTCTGTCCTGGCCATCCAACAAAACAAGTATAAAAACTTGTAAGCAGACAAAATGTCTAGGTTGAAAGATTAACCCAAAAACTGGAAAATGGCCCCTATCTTTAGATTTACCCATTGCCATTGAGTAGATTCTGACTCATAGCAACCATGAAGGACAAAGCAGAACTGGGTTTCCAAGGCTGTAATCTTTACAGAAGCAGACTGCTACATCTCAGGTGGTGGATTCAAACTGCCAACCTTTCAGTTAGCGGTCAAGCACTTAACCACTGCACCACCAGGGTTTCTTTATCTTTACATAAACCCGCTGTTGTCAAGTTGATTCTAACTCATAAACAACCCTACAGGACAGAACAGAACTGCCCCATAGGGTTTCCAAGGAGAGGCTGGTGGATTTGAACTGCTGACCTTTTGGTTAGCAGCCAAACTCTTAACCACTGTGCCACCAGAGCTCCTATCTTTACATACTGGTTCTATATTTTGTATGTCTACATCATTTAGCAGCACAAACAGGTAGCTTATGGTTTAAAAAACTTTTTTTTAGGGGAAAAATTACCAAATGATTTCAAAAAACTCAGAAGTTCAAATTTTGGGTTTATTAAATTACAGTATTTTTAAACTAAGTAACTTCTTTTTAATATCATGCATTTAATTGCCCTACTTACTAACCTGATTACTGCTATATTAGGGAAAGTCCTCTCATATACTTAAAGGGAAAAAAACTTGCTCCAACACTTGACTACCCTAAAGATTAATTATCATTATTTTAAACATTCCCTGCTAGCACTGAAGTCAAAGGTCCAACATAAATCACTGGACTTCAATCCTTTGCATTCCATAAAACCCAAACCAAAAAAAAAGCCAAATCCATTGCCGTCGAGTTGATTTGCAAAAGTTTATATAACCTTGTTTGTCAAGTCTGAGAAAGCAAAGCGAAGCAGGTAAACCAGGCTACCAGAGAAGCTATCCTGTGACATTAAGGACAGAAGCGAAGAGAGTTGACCATCAGTTATCCTAGTTATGCTTCCACACCCTTATGAAGGAGGCTGGCCCTTCAGCTATTTATAAATGTGGAACTGAACTGAAGGGGGCCTGCCATTGCTGCACTTGTGAGTGCCAAGGAGAGCTGTGAGGCTCGGGCTGAATCCCAGCAGAGCCTGTGGAATCTCCCTCAGTATGGCCCTCCATACTTGGCAACACAGCATCCTCTGGCTGCAGTCCTGTCTGGTCAGGAAGAGAACTGAGAGGATTTCTAGCAGTCACTTCCAGCCTCTGAGTCTATATATGGAAACATCCCATTCTAGTGTTTTCAGCATCATGAGCACCACACCGGCCAGGAGGCAGCTGCCCTGAAGGGACACCCACTTTAGCATCTCCCAGGCCCCACTGCCCTGGACTGGACCCTGTCATCAAATGGCAGCCTAGACCTCTGCTGAGTCTTGCAGACTCTCGGTTCTAACATGGAACAGCTGGAAGAGGACCCTGCATTCTTTTCTCTGAGTAAACACTGGGGGCTCTGTTCGCCCTCCCGCTGCAGTGTGGCCTAAAGAATTTCCCCTATCCAAAATCACAACTGACAGATCCTTCCCCGCTCCCAACACTCCCTCCCCGAGATATTTGTCTGTCACCACCCATGTTAGCAAATAGCGAATTGCTGAATCTTTCAAGTATATTCACTTTCCGTACCAGTTCAGATGTCTGTAAATACTAGCAGAATACGAAACAATTCTGTTATGTTCAGTAAAGTTTCCTAACAAGAAACATTAAGGACCCCAATTCATGCCTACTTCTTCTACAGGCTCCCTTCTCTAAATTCAATACGAATAGCCTCATGACTGGTTAAGTCTAACCACATAATATACATACTGCAAATATCCCTGTAATAGTCTGTAGCGTCATCTACATATTATTGTGAAGGCAGAGCTCTAAAACGGGAATATCCACGGGGGCACATAAATAACAAAATTGGATTTTCTTGTATTCCTCAAAACAGCCTTATCAAAGCTTGGCTTCTGAAGGGCAGTCCCGGGCTTCTTCATGTGTTGCTGAAATTCAGCGAGCCACGTTGCCTAAAAGAAGGGGAGGGAAAGCCCAGAAAATCCAGACTCTACGTGACCTGACTTACTTATTTCCCAGGAAACTGCATGAGAGAAAAATCAATCATTAACGCTACCGTAGCTACCACACAGAATGGACGGAAGGAGTTCACAGTGGGCAAAACACCAAAGCCACCAGCGGAGGTAAGCGGGCGGCGGGGACACGGGAAGAGGGTGGGTAAGGATGCCAAGGGCCCCCGGGGCCTGCGCCGTCTGTGTCCCTGCGGAGCTGGGGACTGCGGCCAGGGGCGGGGCCGGGGCCTGAGGCCTGGAAGCGGGTGGCGGGTGGGGCGGCGGCCGCAACGGCCGCGCACTTACCGGGGCTGTTGGCCTCGCCTTCGAGGACGTGCAGCTCGGCGCAGTCGGCCAGCGAGTGCTCCAGGCAGAGCTGGAGAAATCGGGCCTGGGTCTGGCTCACGCGCTTGAGCAGCGACAGCAGCGCAACAGTCTGCTCGCACTCGTTCCAGCCCTTAAACCAGCCCGCCAGCACCCCGACCTGGTCGCGAAACATCATGGTTAGGGGGCCGCCCTCGGTCTAAAGAGCCCCTTCGGCACCCCAGCCCGCCCCGCCCGCCCCAAAGTTTGGCGGAGCCGCAGCCCCGCGGCCGCCGGAGACGCGTTCCTGTTCCAAGGTGGCTCTGGTGCCCGGACGTTGCAGGTATTGCCTCGGCTCCTGCCTCTCTCGTCTGGTTTCAGTTACGTTCTGGTGGTTCTGGCTGATTTCTCCAGAGACGATGACACACAGTAGCACGGAAATGTTTCTTTAAAAATAATAACGATTTTTTAAAAATCCCCACAAGGCACACAACTGAATGAAGAATGCTCTCTTTTCCCCCCTTCTCGCAGCTTCAGGATGGTGATTTCCGGCGTCCGGGGGTCTTCTCCCCGCTGGGCTGCAGCTCGGACCCTTCACACCCGCATTCCCGAGCGGCGATCACCACTGGAAAAAGAGAAAGGGATGCAGTGAGACCTCGGCCAGCGAGGGAGCGCGCCCCGGGGGATGAGTGCATCTGAGGGTGCCGGGGCGGGGGGCGGGGGGACGCCCCGCGGGAGATTCGGTTCCCCAAATGCCAGCCGCCCCCTCCGCAACCAGATGAGGAAGATGGGCTATTCCCGTCTGGGGAATGGCGACAAGCCTCCTTCCCAGGTGCTGGAAGGGACCCCACAGCTTCCTGTTGCTGCCGCTGCGAACGGCTGGTGCTCCCCGCACGCCCCACCCGGGGTGGCCTCAGGGTCTGTGCCTGCGAACGCCAACCCAGCAACAGATCTTCCCCGAGCAGAAAACTTGCAATGCGGCTGCGAAGGGGCGCGGGGGTGGGGGGGCTAATGCAAAGCAGAGGCGGAGGCAGCAGCAGCCCGAGTTCCTTCCTCCTCCTCCTCCTCCCGGAGAAGCAGCCGAGCGGCTGCAGCTCCATCTACAGCAACAGCCAGCATCTCCACTGCCAGGCGCCCCTCTGGATTTAGGCCGTGAGCAGCCGTGGCAGCGGCTCGAGACAAAAATAAACTCTCCCCACCCAAAGCTCCGAGCTCAGCGGGCGGCGGCGCAGCCCGGGGCCCCGGCTCCCCTGTCCGGCGCCTCGCCATTCCAGCCCACCAGGGAGGTCTCCGCGGGCCTCTTTCGCCTAGAGCGTCAGATGTGTGCGTGTGTACGCGCGTTGTGTGTTTTAGGTATCCGGCCCCCGCCGCAGCCTTCGCAGCCGCCGCCTACGGGCGGTTAAGTCCGGCCCAGCGCCTCGCCGGCTCGTCCCAGGCGGAAGGCGGCCCGGCACCGGGGCGTCCGCAGCGCGCTGGGGCAGCCTGAACCTGCAGCGCTGTTCCCCGGCGGACAGGGCGGCTCCGCACCACTAGCACACGCCCCCAAACGACCGCAAAAAAGAAAAGTTCGGCTTCGGGTCTTCCCCCAGTCCTACCCCGGTCCCCGCGGCTGCCGGCTCGGGGGAGGAGAGCCTAGCGGCTCAGCCCTCGAAGGGCGGTTCGCTCTAGCTCTCCGCTTCGTGGCTACCGTAACTTCTCTGGCGGAGGGGAAGCCTCCTGGGAAGGGAACCCAGTCCCCCGCAGGTCCCCGCCAGGAGCGAAAGAGAGGGGGCGCTCACCTCGGCGCGGCTCATCCCGGCGGCTCGGGCCCCCACGCGCGGGTCCGGGGCCGCGGCGGCTCTCAGCGGGGTTGGGGGCGCCCGGAGCGCGGGCCGCGGGCCATGCCGTCGGGGCGGGCGGCGCTGGGGGAGGGCGGCGCTGCGGATCGGCGCCGCCGCTGCTGCTGCCTCCAGTGTCGGCTCGCGGAGAACTGAGCCGCCAGAGCCGGAGCTCCCCACATGCTACTGATTAACATACACCATTACATCATGGGCTTGGCAGGGAGCGCCCGAGAGGGGGGAGAGGAACCCGGGAGGCGGCGGCGGCACGAGGGGGGAGTCGGGGGGAGGATCCCCGGACCCGGCGGGTGGGGGGGCGGATTCCAAAGTGGGGACCAGAAGAGGGAAGGGGAGCGGAGAGGGAGGAGTCGGATGGCGCAGAGAAGTCGGGTTGGAGGAACCGCGAGGCGGAGGGAAGAAGTTTGGGGAAGGAGGGGTCTGGGGGAATTCCTCCCCGCTGCCGCCTGCGCGTTCTGGAGGTGTCAGGGCGCTGAGGCCGCCTGAGCCCGGGCCGGAGGGGAAAACCGAGAGCGTTCGAGTGGGGGTGGTGTGGCCACCAGCTGCGCGTCCTTGGGAATGTGGTTCGCTGACTCGGTGACCCTTTGACCCTGTTGGAGCTCACGGGTAGTACAGCGACGTGGTCTGTGGACAGCGGAGACCTGGAGCCACTGCCGCTGGGGACGGGGACGGCGTCCAGGGGTCGCGGACTTGTATGGTCGAGAAAGGCTAGGGTTCGTGCGCGAGACTGGACGTGCCTGGGCACGGGGTCCCGTGCCGCCCTCGTCCGATGAGCGCGAGAAGTGCCCAGGCCCGCCCTGGCCCAATCACCACTCGGCTCGGGTCGGGCCCTGGGTAGTGTTTGCTCCGGCGAGTGGCCTCGCGGCCGACCCCGCACCCCTCCCGGGCCTCGCTCTCCCCTGGAAAAGCGTCCCGACTTCTGGGCCAACCAGGAAGCGAGGCGGGGCGCCGGGGCCCCGGCTTTGGGCCTGGAGCCGAGACGAGCGTGGATTTGGGGAACACGGAGGCGGGACAGGAGGAAGCCACCTGTCAGCACGTCGGAGTTACCGGCCCGGGCAGCCTTCACCTGAACCTGCGCGGGGCAGAGGCCCAGCGTGGGGCTTCAGAGGTATCGCGGCGAGGGGGCCGAGCGGCACTAGGTGGGCTGGAAACGTGCGCCGGACTAGTCCCACTTGGAGGATTGGTTAAAAAAATCCTAAAACTTAAAAAACCACTGTAACTATGAGTTGAATATTCACTCAACCAAATGACCAAGTCCGGGCTATCTCCGTGTTTTTAGGGAAAACGCAGAGCCCTCGAACGTTTTCTCCAGCAACTTGAAGGTTTAGTTTATAAGGGATACTTCTGAGAGATCAGTGAAGCGCGTTCTACTCTCGCTAATCTACTGTTATGAAGATAAGGTATCTGAAATATTATTCCACTGATTAACACTTTTGTCTGTCTACTCTAGCATATGTTCCTGGAATTTCAGTCCCTTCTTCCTCCTCTCCTCAAGTCTAGTTTCTGCAGCGTTTAGGTCGTGCCTGACAGTGACAGCACCTAATCATCTGTTAGGGTACTGAAAGGGTTTGTGGAGCTGCAAAAACTTGTGTTACTTACCATTAAAATAGAGTGTGTGGTTTTTTTAAAAATGTACATTATTATCCAGACAGGAATGGTATCTACATAAAATATTTAATAAAATTTTTGCTGTGTTTAGAAAACAGAGTTCTGAAGTCTTTGTTTTGTTGCTATAGCGGCAGACAGGTGTGACGGATCGTTTTCTCTAAGACATCACTATCAATTATCTAGTCCTTACTAATAACTTTTTATCAGGAAATGGGTAGTAGAATTGGTATTCCTCAGTATATACCTTGCTATAAACTGCAGCCAAAGCAGAAGTTCCTTCCTTGCCATCTGGTGCTTTTGGAAACCCCCCCAAGAGTGATTTATTTTAAAGGAAAGTGAAAGGAACATCAGTTTCATTAATTTTTTTATTGTAACCTGCAGCTTGCTAAAGGAATCGTAAAACAAAAAGCAAAGACGCTCTTGAGGCAAATATTCAAGAAGTGTACTTATGCTGGAGAAAGAAAATACTGCCATCTACTGGAGGCATATGTCCTTACAGCAGCCTTTGACATAGGAAAAGATCGTGATTTAACTAATTATTGAGTTATCACTGTTCAGGACACTCTTGATAGCCTGAGAAGTACAAAGATTAGCATGTCGTGAGTTACCAGTCCCCCCTTGTTTTTGTCGATTAGCAATCTTCTATGATTTCCCTTGCCTCTGGACCTTTTCCATTATGGAAAAGGGTGTGGAGAGAAAGCCCCGTGATGCTGTTTTCCTATTCCCCACAGAGTGAGGTCATGCCTCTGAAGGAAGGAAAGTAACACTACCAGCTAAATATATGTTTTGTATTAAACGTCGATATTTCCTGTATGAACCTGTACCCAGTTATCATGGATAACTGAGAAGTGACGAACATAATTACTGAGTATCCACATCACTGGTAAAAGAAATGAAAATACAGGATAAAGGAGATATGAGTATGTCTATGTTCATTACATTCTATTTACTTTACCATATTCCTGTTTATTCATTTGAAACTACAAATTGTGCATCTTTTATGTGCCATGCACTGGGCTAGGCAGTAAGTACACAATGGTGAATAAACCAAAAAATACTTTGTATAAAGTAAAGGTAATTATACTGGAGAATGGAATGTGAAAGTTGGAAACAAAAAAAAAGGATCCGTAGTTGCAAAATATAACCTTGGTGATAGAAACGATGCCAGAGATTGCATGATACAATTTTGCAAGACCAAGGACTTATTCATTGCAAAAACTTTTTTTCAACAACATAAACAGCGATGATACATGTGGGCCTTAGCAGATGGAATACACAGAAATCAAATCGAACATATCTGTAGAAAGACACAATAGAGAAGCTCAATATCATCAGTGAGAACAAGGGCAGAGGCAAACTGCAGAACAGATCATCAATTGCTCGTATTCAAGTACAAGTTGAAGCTGAAGAAAATTAAAACAAGTCCAAGAGAGCCAAAGTATGACCTTGAGTATATCCCACCTGAATTAAGAGACCGTCTCAAGAATATAACTGACACACTGAACACTAATGACCAAAAACCAGATGAGTGGTGGGATGACATCAAGGACATCGTACATGAAGAAAGCAAAAGGTCATTAAGAACACAGGAAAAAAAGAAAAGAACAAAATTGATGTCAGAAGAGGCTCTGGAACTTGCTCTTGCTGTAGAGCTGCTAAAGAGAACAGAAGAAATAATGAAGTAAAAAAGCTGAACGGAAGACTTCCAAGGGCAGCTCAAGAAGATAAAGTATTGTAATGAAATGTGCAAAGACCTGGAGTTAGAAAACCAAAAGGGAAGAAAATGCTGAGCATTTCTCAGGCTGAAGGAACTGAAGAAAAAATTCAAGCCTCAAGTTTCAGTATTGATGGATTCTATGGGCAAAATATTGGATGATGCAGGAAGCATCAAAAGAAGATGGAAGGAATACACAGCCTCATTGTACCAAAAAGGATTGGTCAGCATTCAACCATTTCAGGAGGCAGCATATGATCAAGAACCAATGGTTCTGAAGGAAGAAGTCCAAGCTGCACTGAGGGCATTGGCAAAAAGCAAGGCTGCAGGAATTGACTGAATACCAACTAAGATGTTTCAACAAATGGATGCAGCACTAGAGGTGCCAAAAAAGGATGGAAAGAATACACAGAGTCACTATACCAAAAAGAACTGGTCGATGTTCAACCATTTCAGGAGGTAACATATGATCAAGAACCAGTGGTACTGAAGGAAGAAGTCCAAGCTGCACCAAAGGCATTGGCAAAAAAACAAGGCTCCAGGAACTGACGGAATACCAACTGAGATGTTTCAACAAACAGATGCAGCACTGGAAGTGCTCACTTGTCTATGCCAAGAAATTTGGAAGACAGCTACCTGGCCAACCGACTGGAAGAGATCCATATTCGTGCCCATTCCAAAGAAAGGTGATCCAACAGAGTGAAGAAATTACAAAACAATATCATTAATTTCACACACAAGTAAAATTTTGCTGAAGATCATTCAAAAGTGGTTGCAGCAGTACGTTGAGAGGGAACTGCCAGAAGTTCAAGCCGGATTCAGAAGAGGATGTGGGATGAGGGATATCATTACTGATGTCAGATGGATCTTGACTGGAAGCAGGATACCAGAAAGATGTTAACTGTGTTTTATTGACTGTTCAAAGGCATTCGACTGTGTGGATCATAACAAATTATGAATAACATCGCAAAGAATGAGAATTCCAGAACACTTAATTGTGTTGATGAGAAACCTGTACATAGACCAAGAGGCAGTCGTTCAAACAGAACAAGGGGATACTGCGTGGTTTAAAGTCAGGAAAGGTCTGTGTCGGGGTTGTATCCTTTCACCATACTTATTCAATCTATATGCTGAGCAAATAATCCAAGAAGCAGGTCTATACGAAGAAGAACCTGGCATCAGGTTTAAAGGAAGACTCATTAACAACCTGCGATATGCAGATGACACAACTTTGTTTGCTGAAAGTGAAGAGGACTTGAAGCACTTACTGGTGAAGATCAAGGACTACAGCCTTCCATATGGATTACACCTCAGCATAAAGAGAACAAAAATCCTCACAACTGGAACAATAAGCAACATCATGATAAAGAAAAGATTAAAGTTGTCAAGGATTTCATTTTACTTGGATCCACAGTCAACGCCCATGGAAGCAGCAGTCAGGAACTCAAAGGATGTATTGCATTGGGCAAATCTGCTCCAACAGACCTCTTTAAAGTATTAAAAAAGCAAAGATGTCACTTTGAAGACTAAGGTGTGCCTGACCCAAGTCATACTTTCAATCATCTCATATGCATGTGGAAGCTGGACAATGAATAAGGAAGACTGAAGAAGAATTGCTGCATTTGAATTACGGTGTTGGTGAAGAATATTGAATATACCATGGACTGCCGGAAGAACAAACAAGCCTGTCTTGGAAGAAGTACAGCTGGGATGCTCCTTGGAAGTGAGGATGGC